ACTCACATTTATGACCGTTATGGGGTCATGGTCACTTTTTGCGACCTTCTTATAAGCCAAGTCAATGGGAAACCCAATAATACTTAACAACCGGTGGCAACAAAGGTAGTAAAACGGGCCAAAATTCACTTAAATATTTTACTTAGCAACAAAAATTTGGGGCTCAATTGTGGTCGTAAGTCAAGGTGTTGAAAAAAGTAACTAGCACTCATTGCAATAACAATCATTGCAGTGTCCCCATATGGTCATAATTTGGGTGCTTAGGAATCAGCACAATATTTACGGTGCCCCTTGGCAGCCGACAGCAGGACTAGCCAACATTCCAGAAGAAAGGCTTAAGATGCCGAAGGGTCTTGACAGATTTGAACATTGGCGCTATCTAACAAAATAAAATGCAATGGTGAAAAAAGTTCCACATTTAGGCAAGAAAACCCAAGTGTAGTATAGGGGGTACCTGGCTCAATAATAGTAACTGTGAGAGGGATCTTGGAGTCCTAGTGGACAACCACTTAAATATGAGCCAGCTGTGTGCAGCAGCTGCCAAAAAAGCCAACACAGTTCTAGGCTGCATAAACAGAGGGACAGAATCAAGATCACGTGAAGTGTTAATACCACTTTATAATGTCTTGGTAAGGCCACACTTGGAATCCTGCATCCAGGTTTGCTCACCACGATGTAGAAAAGATGATGAGACTCTAGAAAGAGTGCGGAGAAGAGCAATAAAGATGATTAGGGGCCTGGAGGCTAAAACATATAAAGAACGGTTGTTGGAATTGGGTATGCTTAGTGTAATGAAAAGAAGGACTGGGGGCAATATGATTAGCAGTCTTCCGATATCTGAGGGGCTACCACAAGGAAGAAGGAGTCAAACTTTTCTCCAAAGCACCTGAAGCCAGGACAAGAAGCGATGGGTGGAAACTAATCAGGGAGAGAAGCAACCTAGAACTAAGAAGAAATTTCTGACAGAACAATCAGTCAGTGGAATAACTTGCCTCCAGAAGTTGTGAATACTCCAACACTTGAAGTTTTTAAGAAGAGACTGGACAACCATTTGTCTGAAATGGTATAGGGTTTCCAGCCTGAGCAAGGGGTTGGACTAGAAGACCTCCAAGGTCCCTTCCAACTCTGTTATTCTATTCCGTTATTCTGGTTATATGATTGCCAATTGGTACCTTCCTAGGGGTTTTTTGACAAGTGGAATCAATTAGGGAAGCCAGATTCACTTAATGAATAGAATACAATAGAATACAATACAATAGAATACAATACAATACAATACAATACCTTAAGGATTATGTGATTTCCTTAATGACTATAGCAAAAAAGGTATTAAAATCAGACTCACTTAATGAATGTATCGCATAGCAACCAAACATCCCATCCCAATTCTGATCATAAGGGGAGGAGTATCTATATATAAGATGTTGGCTGCTGATGAGCAAGACGCCCTCTGCTGTTCACTTCCATATATAACATCCCAGAACTGGAAAAACCAGCAAAGTTGTATAACACTTCTCAGATAAGGCTAAAACTGTGTACAGGTAGTCCTCGACTTACAACAGTTCATTTAGTGACCATTCAAAATTACAATGGCACTGACAAAAAGTGACTTACGACAGTTTTTTACAGTTATGACCTTTGCATCATCCCCACGATTGTGCAATCAAAATTCAGGTGCTTGGCAACGGTTTCATATTTATGACTGTTGCCGTGTCCCAAGGTCCTGTGACTCCCCGCTTTTGTGACCGTCTCACAAGCAGAGTCAATGGGGAAGCCAGGTTCACTCAACAATCGGGTTGCTAACTTATCAACTGCAGTAATTCGCTTAACAACTGCGGCAAGAAAAGTCATAAATGGGGCAAAACTCACTTAACAAATGTCTCACTTAACAGCAGAAATGTTGGGCTGCATTTGTGGTTGTAAATTGAGGCCTACCTGTATAAATAAATTTATATTCCGCCCAGTGTCAAGATGGATAGCATATAAATTTAATAATAAAACAATCAAATAAATGAGTAAAATACCAAGATTATTTATTTATTTACTTACTTATTTACTTATTTTTATTTATTTATTTAGTTATATCCTACTTTCATTATTTTTACAAATAACTCAGGGTGTCAAACATACCCAGGGCACTTTCTTCCTCCTGTTGGTTGCCATCTTGGGAACATCCCATAATTTAAGGGTTTGTTTGTGAGCTTCTTCAGTTGTCCTTGTCAATTGTCTCTTTCTATTTGTGTATCTAAAGAAGGCGACAATCTAATGCGGACTGTTTTAGTTGACTGGTTACATCAGTTCATAGTTTCTCAACCAAGACTGGCTGGGGAATGCTAGGAATTGAAGAGCATTAAAGATTTCATTCCTTCTTGAGAGCTCAATTAAAAGTTATTTTCTCTCCGTTGCTTTCTACTGTGAAGTTTAAAAACAGAGGGTGTTTTTTTTTTAAAGGAAGGGAGTGCTTTTATGTGAATAAAACCATTGTAAAAGCTTCCTGTACTGACTGGGGGTGCCTGATTACATTTGAGGCAGAGAACATTTCTCCCCTCCGAGCATTTGAGATGCTGATCACAATCCCATTTCCAAAGGAAAATCAGATTTTAAGAAATACTCTAGTTTTGACCTCTGCATGAAAATGAATCGGCCATTCTCAATCCTGCAACGACAATACCCATGCACCTGAAGGACTTCAGGCTGGCTAAGCTGAGTTAGCATTTTTTGCAGTGTTTTGAGATTTTGTTAAAATCTGGGCTTTACCTTTGACCTCTGCCAAGCCATTTCCCCCCTTTTTTGTCTGCTAACTCCAGTCCAAACCTTCCGCAACAAATATTGACCCTGGGAGCAGAAGGGGAAACTAGAATTATCTACAGTTTACTAAATTCAGAGAGAGATTCAGAGGCCAGGTCAGCAATTTTTCAGGAAGAATGTTGGTGTTTGAAATCCCTCCGAGTGTTTTGAATTCACCTCCTGAGACCTAATAAAGGAAGGAACTGTTAAACCCATGAGTTCATATTGAAGACATCAGCCACTGGTCGGCAGGTCTGATTAAAAAAAAAAGTTATAAAGGAATTATCAACAAAGGGTCACAAGAAGGCAGCAAAGCTCTTTCTCTTCTGTCCTTTTCTCTACTGACTTTTCATCTAGGTTTAGAGCCAGCTTGGTTTTAGGAGTGAATGTTACGTATTGTAATTAGTTGCTGAAGTTAGTAGCTGAAGTCTTCACTCAGGTCCGTTGTTGAAGCGGGAAAATACTTTAATCTGATTGGTTGCCCGGCTGACAGCTCCCTATCAAAGGAGCGCTGTCAGCCAAACTGTTGTTGGTTCTTCGTATGTACTCAATAAAGAGCTTCTCCTGAAAGTCACTCTGGTTCTCTTCCATTCGCACCCCAAATCTAACAGTGAAGGCAACAGCTAGAAAGCAGAAGATTTTGTTGATCCAAGTGTGACATGGTAGCAATGTTCCAATATTTGAGGGGCTGCCATAAAGTAGAAGGAGCTCAACCTATTCTCCAACGCACCTGAGGGCAGGACAAGAAATAATGAATGGAAATTAATCAAGATGAGAATGAAGTAGAAATTTCTTGACAGGAAAATTAATCAGTGGAACGGCTTTCCTCCAGAATAGCAATAGCACTTAGACTTATATACTGCTTTGTAGTGCTTTTAAAGTCCTCTCTAAGCAGTTTTACAGAGTCCGTATATTGCCCCAACAATCTGGGTCCTCATTTGACCCACCTGGGAAGGATGGAAGGCTGAGTCAACCTTGAGCCTGGTGAGAATCGATCTGCCAAATTGAAGGCAGCCGGCAGTCAGCAGAAGTAGCCTGCAGTACTGCACTCTTAACCACTGCGCCACGGTGGCTCATAGAAGTTGTGGGTGCTACATCACTGGAGGTTTTTAAGAAGATATTGGTCTGAAATGGGCTAGATCCCAGTTTGAGCAGAGGGTTGGACTATAAGACCTCTAAGGTTTCTTCCAACTCTGTTATTCTGTTCAAGAGGAGAAAGAGCGGCAATCTCGATTGTGAATTCTAGTCCCACCTCAGGCATGAAAGCCGGCTGGATGACTTTGAGCCAGTCTCTCTCTCCCCTCAGCCCATGACCTCAGGCTCAGCTGACAGGCTGTTGAGTCAGTTCCTGTCACAACCAATAGATCAACACCGAGTTGATCTGAAGAAGGGAAAAAAAATAAAAAAGGACCTTGTACTCTGCTAAGTAAATAAATCAGTACAGCGTCCAAAAATGAACCGTGGGAATATTGGTGCTTTATGTTAATTCATTGCTGGAAACACACCAGCATAAGTAACAAAGCACAACAGCATTGCTAAAGCTGGCATTAGGGATATATTATTGGGATACTTTAGGCTAAATCTCCAGAACGTACCCAGGCCCCTATCCATGTTCCTTGTAACTACCCAATTTCACTCCATAGGAAGCCACCACCATGGTTAAGTTAGGCAGACTAAGGCTGGAAACTTTTAAAAATTTCTGTGGTTAAAGATATGGTCTAGTTGTGGTTCAAATACCAGGCTAATTCTTAATTCTGCCTTAGGCACAAAAGCCGGCTGGGTGACTTTGGGCCAGTCATTCTCTCTCTCAGCCCTCAATGACAATGTCAGGCTCCAACAACAAGCCGGTCGATCAATTCCTGTTGCAATCAATGGATCAACAGTCAATTGATCTGGGGGGGGGGGAGGGGGAACAGAATCTGCTCTTGAAGGAAAAATAAAACCACCAGGAAGGAAAACAAACAGAGGTGGAAATCACAAGCCCTTCCTCTCTTGCAGATCACTCAGGCTTCTGGGCCAGCTGCAACCACATCTGCCTCTCAAGACTGTCTGAGGTTTTCTTAATATCCACAGAAACCTCTGGACTTACATAGCTTGGCAGAGAACTGGCGTGCTCTGGCTGGCCCCACCTGGAATCCGTGCTTGAGTTGGCGAGGCTTCACCTGACCCAGGTGCCTGGGGGCGGAGCTTGGGAAACTGAAGGAAAGGGGGAGGAGGGGAATGCCAGGGGGCGGCCCTGCTGTTTTGCCAGCCTGTTTTTCTGGGGAAAGGCTCATCTGGAGCACATAGAACAAAGTCTTCCTCGGATTTGGATGGGGTTCCGGAACTCTGTGAGGAGACCCCACTTTTAAAACTCCTTGGAACCGGCCTGTTTTGAGGAAGATGGTGACCAGGTCAGGGGACAACTGAGCAACATGGCTGTGCGGTTTGAGGCAAGTGCAAATGCAAATGCAAAAAAAAAAGAAAGAAAGAAATGTGTGTTTGTGTATGTTTGTCCACTGCTTTCCTTGCTGCCAAAAAAAAAAAAAAAGGAAATATTCCTGGTGAGAAAAAGTTTGCACTCCCCCAATTAAAATCTTGATGATTTGATCCCGCCAGCCAGGTGGGCTGGGTTTGGGCCCAGCATTTTCACTGCAAAGCTGGATGTGCAATGGCAGCTGCTCTGGGGCACAAAGGCGATTAATATAGGCTGTTCCGACTGGGCAGTTCCAAGAAGCACGTTTGGTTGTTTCCAAGATTGCAACCTTAATTTTATAATTCAGTTTGAAAAAAATGTTTCTGCAATTTTCCTTGTAAACCTCCCACCCCCAAGGAAACAATAAAGGGGCGAGTGTGTTTGGGACACCTGGAAGAATCCGCAGGTCATTGAATCGTTCACAGTCAACGTCTTGGCATGTGTGGGGTGTGTGTGTGTGTGATTGTTTTGTGTTTGGGGGTGGAATGTGGTTTCTACAGACGTGGCTGAAGTCCAAGTATCACGTTCCCGAGAAAAAAATAGGCTAATTACCGAGGACTCAAAAATTCTGTTCTGCCATCCATGCTGAACCCCAGGGGCCTTTTTGAAATGGAAACTTGCTGCTGATTTCTCCAGACCTCAGTATCCCGGATAGTGAACAAGCAAGATCAGGTAGTCATTCAACAGATGTAGCTTTTTCCCTGGAATGGAGAGAATGCCCCGTGGGAAGAGAATTGGGTGGGGTGGTGGTGGAAGGAGGGAAATACCTTCCTGCTTGTAAAACTGTTGAATTGCGGGCATTGGGAAGGCGAGGGTAGCGGTCATATTCAGATTAGGGTTACTGAGATAAACTAGAGGCTTTCCAGATAGCTATAACGTCACCAGCCCAGGAAAGTTGTCACCGGCTGCGACAGCTCCCATTATATCTGAGGGAACTCTGCGTTTCCAGAGAGTTGGGTTACGGGGAGAAGCCTGCCATTTTCCCCCGTGGCCTTAATGAGCAAGGCTCCTCACTGAACTGGTGGGATTTGAACTGGGTGACTTTGGGCCAATCAGCAGGAGACTGTGAGTTCTAGTCCT